ATTCGCTCGTCATAACCATCCAAAAACGAAGAGTGGAGTTCTGCTACACTTTGCCTGATTCAATGATAGGCGCAACAAGTATACATTGCAGCAACTATCACAAGTTTAAAGCCATCATGGACTACTGGATTTGTGTTCCTTGGATTCTATACAATGAGCATACCTTGACAATCACATAATATGCTGTTAGCAGTGCAGAAGAGTTAGCGGCAATAGTTGTAATTGAAATCAGCGGTTGAAGATGACCAATCACAAAGGCGAGAATCATCACTAAATTAGTTCCTACTTCTCTCCATGATGATTTCCATTTCAATCTTTCAGTAAAGTTAGGACTTCGTATTATGGATGACATGGAGTGATGTCTATGCCACATCTGTCTAAGCTTAGTGTCTATTGAAATATTTCAAAAAGTTCTTGTCTTGTAAACAGAAAAATGCACCATCTTCTTGCTTGTCAGAAAATATTTTGTAATCATGACTTACGAGCATTGTTGTTTTGAAAGTGATTAATTGTGAGGCTTAGAGTGGTGATGAAAGCAGTCGGTACTTGTACTGCAAGAAAGGCAATAGTTACTGTTGCAACTAGAATACGAGTTTGATCTCTTGGCGTCCGACCGAACCGATTACTATAAAACTGCATAAATACATATCGATCACTTTATTTTATACAGAAATGGACTAGAACATACTGCTTTGTTATCATTCCAATGTCGATTTCTGGTTCTCTTATGAAACCGACGTGTAGAAGAGCAAGCAAACAACCCGGTATTATAAACTGTACAACAAAGTCCAATAATGGTAGAAAAATCTGTAAATTTGAATAGATGGCATAGAGAAAGTAAAACCGGTTTTTGTACCCAAATTTCTATAGTCAGAGCGTCTGGTCGATTTTTCTGCGAGTGACTACCACTTTACTACAAAGGATAAACGTTGAGATGATGGTGAATCTGTGAGGGATTTCCGACTCCGTTAAGCATCGCAGAGATTGTTGTGGCATATCCGCGGAGTAGGATGATTTGCGATGACCCACTGCTGTTGAAATCAGTATTTTTTTTTCTCCCAGATATGTCTGGCACCGATTTGCCGACTCCGGAGGAAAGGAGGGTTTCGACTTCTCGAGACGACTGGACCAAAAGTGCATGTACGTATGTCAGGGAAGCTCTAATCAATGCTCTCCCAGGTCTGATTTAAGGACGAGGAATCATAAATTAGTGGAACTTACTTTCCAAAACGTTCGCGTCAAAATATTCATGAGGGCTCCGTCTCGTATCATACAGCGTGTTGCCCACTGAGGCGTAGGTTCTGTGTCTGAAGAGGTAGTGAAAATGTTATTCTCTCTCATTATTCCACTTTAATAAGCGGAACATTGGAATGTGTTTTTGTAGATGACAGAATCTTTCCGATGTATTCCTCATGACATGGGACATGCTTCCAGCTTCAATTAAGCTTTCATTGATTAAAAGAGTATAAAAAGTGCGCTGTCTGCAAAGGTAAACCGAATTTCCTGCTTTCACACTTATATGCGAAATGTTGAGGAAAAAGTTGGATGTATGCATTCTTAATTAATTCTCTTCCAATTCTCGAAGCGAACGTAAAAGGCGTACCCATACAGAATTGATAGACTGTGGTGTCATGTTCGAAAAATCGTAGAAGTCCAATAGTAACGCATACGATTATGATCAACCATATCGCCCTGGAGAAGCGTTCAACGGTACGAACCTTCAATGTGCTTCGGTGGTACTGTGTCAAGAACCTGAACGAAATGGAAACTTATGTGGTCATATTTACTGGACTTTATACATAAATTAATTTTTAAAAGATAGATGCCAAAATGTTTAAAGTATTTTGCTCTAAGCTATATTTTTCCTGCAGGAAGGGTTACTTACCTTGCAGCTGCCAGCAGTACACTGAACAATGTCATCATAGTGTCAATGGTGTGCGGAATTGCTTCCATTGTTGTTCGGAAGACATGACACATAACGATGGATTGGTTAAGAGATCTGCAAGTAAGATGGAAAACACTTCTGGAAAACTCTAGAATTCATATATACGTTCTTCAACCACTTCCTATTACGTCGCGAGATTTCCGGGATTCTCGACTTTAACGACCTCATGAATGTTACAAGAACGAAGTGGTCTTATCAAATTATTACTTTCTTGATGTGCAAAAGATAACTGGTATCTAAAACGCCTATCAACAAAGATGAGTACATTTCCTTTTCGAGTATTTTCTCCAAATTTTGCCTTGGTTAGGCAAGAACTGTGTAGATGAACACAAATACGTTTCTACGTAGACCATAAAGGGAAGACGACTTTCTTGAATTGGAAAACATGAAAAATTATTACTTTTATGTGAAAATTGAATTTGAACTGAATTGGATGTTGTGGTGACATCGTTCCACTAAAATAAAGGCGAACTATTGTACAGCACAAATTTACTCTTCCTCTGGTATTGGATGTTGTAGTATAGTGGCTAGAGATGTTTTGCGAAGGACACATGCGTTAAACTTTTATTTACTGCCTACTGTAATTTTTCATAGCAGAGTATGATATGAAATCCAATCACAATGATGCTGAGATATTTGCAGGAATCTGGACCGCAGGTGGCTACTGTGGGGATCGAACTCGCTGTTACCATTTCCGGCGATAACGCGTTCATCACCACACCATGTCGGCCTTTGGTTTCGCCTTTCTCTCAGCTAGTTCATAGCCTTTTGGTTTGGTCGCGCACCCTACGCTACCTATTTCCTCTTCATTCTGGAGTTGGTAAATTGNATTTTAACTGAATTGGATGTTGTGGTGACATCGTTCCACTAAAATAAAGGCGAACTATTGTACAGCACAAATTTACTCTTCCTCTAGTATTGGATGTTGTAGTATAGTGGCTAGAGATGTCTTGCGAAGGACACATGCGTTAAACTTTTATTTACTGCCTACTGTAATTTTTCATAGCAGAGTATGATATGAAATCCAATCACGATGATGCTGAGATATTTGCAGGAATCTGGACCGCAGGTGGCTACTGTTGGGATCGAACTCGCTATTACCATTTCCGGCGATGACGCGTTCACCACCACACCATGTCGGCCTTAGGTTTCGCCTTTCTCTCAGCTAGTTCATAGCCTTTTGGTTTGGTCGTGCACCCTACGCTACCTATTTCCTCTTCATTCTGGAGTTGGTAAATTGACATCGCAATAAACTTTGTGAATATAGACGTAGATTTGATACATTGATACATCGGCATGCTTTCTCAAGTCACTACGTAGACCAAATATCCCTTAAGTCACCTTAATAATGCTAGATGAAGATGGATAGATAGTACACCACTACATATTCGATTAACGCCGAGCGTTTTATGTTTTACAAGGATGACGTTCTTTCAAGGATTTGTAACATTCATGCCTCGTTCCTTCTCCAAGAATGTAGTACCAAAAAGTAAATGGTAGTGGTGACAAGACGCTTATCCATCCACAGAATGCCAGTAACCAAATCATTTGATGAAGTGGATTAGGCTGAAATAAACTGTCTTCAATTAGTGAACTCAAGAAGCTGTGTGTATTGAATTCTACGGGTTGAAAGGAACCAGATCATCACTACAGACAAGGCTTCTATGAACGTTTAAAACAAATACTTCACTAGATAAATGTCAATCAGCGAGTTACCAATTTAATAGCCCCTAAGAGTACTTCGTATTTAAAGCAATTTAGAGAAACCGTAAGTATTTCGTATGAACGTGGTAACCTGTATTCACGAAATTCCAACGCAGGCGATTGAAATTATTTAATGGAATTAGCCTCTATAAAAGTCACCTACTTCCACCTAGGCGATATATTCACGCCTACTATCACAAAATACCGTAGTCTAGGTAAATTGACCGTGTCATTTTGTAGTAAAATTGTGAAGCATGAACAGCTAAGCTGCTTTTCAAGGAACTCATAGATGTTGCTATTCAGTTTCCAAAACTCCAAGACTTTATACGTAGGTACATATAGGAATACATGTATATGGTATATACTTGGATACTTGGATGACCCATGCTCACTGGTTGTGCGTGTCTTAGCACAATTTCCATTCTCTGAAGATTTAATGGTTTAGCCTCTGTGGTTCCCTGGAGCCCCGAGGACAGCCTGGACAAAGTCAGCCCCATGTCGTCATCACCACAGGCAGTCGCCACCCTTGTGGCTCATAGGGAGATTTGCCACCTGGCCGGGTTTACTGATGGAAACACTGGGCTCGTTCTCTTTCTCAGCTTGGCAGACTGTGCCTGGGGGGTGAATCTCCGGCTGTACATCGCAGTCCGACACCCAGGAAAACCTCCCAGCCGCGATGAAGCGGTAAACCATTGAGAGGTATATTTATATATTTATATATGTACATACATATATATACACATATATTTATACATGTATATATGTTTAAATGGAGAAGCTACACGTACATATCTGCGATCACCTTCGCGCTTCTCGCGCTTTCGCATTCCCAGCATCACGGCACATAAAGGTGCGATCAGTGAAATCATAAGTATCGGATATGCGAATCCATAGACGACTACATGCGACCAACTGTTGTTCAGCCCACCGAACATAAAGCCCACATTTAGCGAAACCTGAAAGTAGTAACATTCTGTTAACCCGTACTAAAATAGTCCTCGTTCACTCTATTTGTCATAAATTTTTTGCCTGTACCCTTCCCTTTTTTTAGCATAAATTTGTATACTGTATTGGTCCTCGGATGGCTAGTCGGAAATGTTACTGCAGTATTCAACGAGGAATCGAAATCACAAGGCAGCAGTTCTTCGTCAACTTCGTAAAGCTTGGCAGCAACTTATGGTGGAGATTCGGCGAAATCGTAGGCTGCCTATCTAGGGGTTATACGGAAAGCAACATTCAACGTGTATTCAGTAAACCTTTGAGGAGAGAAGCCAAAACGTCCTCAAATCGCAGCTGAATACGTGTACGCGTGCCGGTTGCAAAACAACGAATCGAAATGCAAAAGTTCTAGAACATCGACGAACTGGAATGGGTAGTCGCCTGAGTAATTTACTTTTGCGAGTCTTAATCGAATAATTAAATACAAAGAAAGAGGAACTGCTGGAAATTGAAACAGTTAGACGACTCAGAATTTTTAGAAGTGACGTCGATCGGCTTCCCAACTTTTGATTTCTTTTTGTGCCTAAGCTTTCTAAGTAAGCGTTCCACCTGCTGTAATTTCTTGATAAATGTCCCTTTCGATATTGAACACGACCACCATCGCTTCTAGCAAAACTTACTTCACATCTTTTCCTCGGAAAGTCGAAAAAGAATCCATCACCACAACAACATTTAGCTGCCTAAAAAATGACAGTAGGCAATATACAAGTGAAGTTATTATGTTTTTCACTTCTAATTTTTTTTACTACATTTTCTTCAGTGGTTCTTCCTGTTAGATCGCTTTCTATAAGTTGGCCAACGAGCTGAAAGGTAGAAAACCTTCCTGCGATCTCCATTGCTTAGCACTCAATCATGACCATAACCAAAATATTGCCTTAGCACGCAAGTCTTCGAATTTCATGAAAAAGAACACCCGGCTTGGTTAGAATTCGACATTTGAACAAGATGAGAAATGACAGATCTTCCCAACCAAGAATATAATCCCAACAATTGCCTGCGGTACTGGCTGCAAGCTAAGGAAATGATTAATGAAAGTTCTAGGACTTGAAGATCATGTCAATAAGGGTCAAGTAAGTGTGTGGATGAATTTTCCTTAAAGAAGAATGTTTATGGAAGTGTGAATGCTTTCTAATAGCTAATAAATTCTTAATCAGAATGGGACGGATTTTTTGGAAAAAATTTCAAGTGTGGGCAAAACATAGTAACATTAGACCAAAGAAAAACATTTCCCTTTGAGCATTCTACGTTACCGATGCGCATATTTTTAAAACGTTTTGAACACTCAATCGATATCGATCAATACCCGTTGTTCCTCTGTCGCGCATTGATCAGATGGCAGTATTGAAATATTGTGAATCCGTAGATCTTCTTCGCCATCGATTGTCGTCAAGAGCATTGCATTGCGTGCACGAAAATTTCGTCGATAAAAGAGCTCTGGAGTTGGGATTGATGAATTTCGTTGCTCTTTCACGTGGAAATTGCTTGAATAAAGTGAGAATAAACTAATATTTTAAACAGTTAGTAGAGATCCGTCAAAAGCTAACGGTGACGAGAAGATGAAGGTTTTCATCAATCCCTAAGGAATTCACTAGGCATACGAGTGCCACAAGCATCTCAGAGGTGAATGAATGCATATCTGGATTATAAAATGGCTTATTGACCTTTACTGATCTATAAAATCGGTGTTATAACATTCCCAGGGAGTATAGCACCAATTTCACAAATTCGTAGCGATAAGGAGCTTGATTTGTCCACGGCGCCAGATCGAGCCAACGACCTTGTAGATATCTCACGGTGCACTAATCAATAATCACGGCGTTCTACCCCCTATCAAGCATTTGTGGCATATTATTTTAAGCAAACTTTCTCTACAATAAAAGATAAAAGGATAAAACTTTCGGCGTTGATCAATGCCTGAGGGATGTGCCATGCATTCGACTTCATTAAGCACCGTTTCGAGATAATTGAATGCATATCTGACTTTTACAATGACTCGTGGTGGCCTACCTATGTCCAGTTGATGCTGGTATCCTCCCAGACAAGTCTGGTACCAATTTGCCGACCCTGTGGGGATGGAAGGCTTGATGAGCCATGGACGCGGGGATCAATTCCACGCATGTGTTGCCTCCGACCACTGCGCCACACGCCCCTTTTTCTTCACAATATTAGGGAAATTATGCCATTCGGGTACTTGTTTTATGATCATTTTCATATGGGTGGTAAAAATGAGCAAGGGTGGCAAAGACGTATAAAGGGAACATGTATGGGGCTGAAGACCGCCAAATAGACAATGCCGTAAGATTCGTAACATAGACTGGATAGGGTCTAAAGAATATGAACAAGAAAGATTTCAAAGAAAGTGCAAGCAATGAGTAATAACAAAATCAGATAACAAGTCGGGANGCAAGGGTGGCAAAGACGTATAAGGGGAACATGTATGGGGCTGAAGACCGCCAAATAGACAATGCCGTAAGATTCGTAACATAGACTGGATAGGGTCTAAAGTATATGAACAAGAAAGATTTCAAAGAAAGTGCAAGCAATGAGTAATAACAAAATCAGATAACAAGTCGGGAAGACGAGTAGTGGCCATACCACCAAGGTAAGGTTGTTCCCAGAAAGAACGAGATTTGTGCAAAATTCTTATGATTATGAAAAACGCGTAAGATCTCGTAGCCGAACAAGGTCAACTTTTATCGAACACTATTACTCACTGCTCTTAGGTGCATCAATATTTTCGTAGTATCAGAGAGATTACTCAACAAAGTTGTCTTGTATGAAAGCTACGTAGAAAGGACCGACGATGAAATTTTATAAAATCGACCAAAGGTTCAGAAGTTATCATTGATCGATAGAAGTTTATTTCTTAGTGAACATGAAACAATGAGTATTTCAGCTTATTATTTAGTGCCTACTCTTCTTAATGGCAGGGTATATTGCGAAATACAACTTCAGTGATGCTGAAATATTTACAAAACTCCGGACCGCAAGTGTCTGCGGTGGTGAACGAATGCTCTATTACCTTTTCCGTGGACTAACGCGTTCACCACCACACCAAACGGGTCCTCCGTTTTGCCTGTCTCTCAGCTAGTTGCGAGTTTTGGAAATATCTCAGCATCAGTATAGTTATATTTCACACTGAGTATTGTTATCTCTTGACTAATCAACATTCTTCCCTTAACAAGCCAAAACGAGGGTGATAAAAAAACTATTCGGCTATCGTCTCGACGCCTTGGCTTTCCTCAGAGCCGAATTGATCCAGATCGATTGCCCATAGTTCTTTCTTCTTCCGACGTGGGTCTTTGCGATCTCGTCGAGTGGAATCCAGTGGAAAATTGCTCGATTCGAATGAGCAACCTCACTCTCCACTGCTCGTTTATACCGGACGGTTGTTGCTGACAGCGATTTTTCGCTGATAACAGTTTGTTTTTCTTCAAAGAATCTGTCCTCTAGTCGGTATAGTTCTCAGCAGGCATACAACGCAACAATATTTCAAAAACCGACTTTTCTTTGAGTAAAAAAAACCGTCGACGATCGACTCGGATCATATGAGCTCTGAAGAAGGCAAAGGCGTCGACATGTTGGTCGAATAAAGTTTGTGTGATTTAGGTGAAAATGCTACTTCAATTTGTGAGTAACATTGTATGAAATATAAATATCCATCCTCGTACGATGCGCCACGTTCTCTTAGCAAATCGCACTTTTGCATGTTCTTTCTTTTCTGATGACCATAACAGCCGAAAAAAATTCATGCGTCGGGAAGAAAACTCAGGATTCAAACATAAGTTGTGTTAATGGATTTAGTGATCAGATTGCTCCCCACTGAGCTTTTCCTTCTGTGCACCTCTCCTCTTTAAAAAGGATAAAGGATGAAGTTCTCGGCTTTGATCAATCCCTGAGGGGTGCGTCATGCGTTTGACTTCATTAAGTGTCGTTGGAGGTGATTGAATGCATATCTGGCCTTTACAATGACTCGCGCCGGCCAACCGATGTATCGAGCCAGTGCTGCTATCCTCCCAGACAAGTCTAGTACCAATTTGTCGACCCCGTTGGGATGGAAGGCTTGGTGGGCCTGGGGATCGATTCCACGTGTTTGTCGCAGTGGCGTCTCCATCCACAACAAGAGCAACCTCTCCAGTTATAATCCGCGATTGCTTCACTTCAGAAAAATGCTTGATTTAATAACGAAGAGGTGGTGTTTCTTTCATGGTCGATGAGATTTTCCAAGTAGGGATAATGTGAGTAATTCCCGGTTTTCGGTCTTTAGAGAGGTCTTCTGGAATGGTTGTACGCGTTTTTATTAATACAGAAACCGGGAAAACTAGTAAGCAGTAGAGGAAAGCCCAGGGACTGAGATGGGTTAGATAGTCGGTCGTCGATAGATTCGTTGCTAGTGAAAGGTGGTCTTTGTGGTGAGAAGTTCATCCCTTAATACCCGCTCTCTCATCGTAATTGAGCCGAGAATTATGCATCGACATTCTAATTGAGCTCAGCATTGTCTGCTCTTTCGAAGCCAAATCTTTTCTCGGTATTCAATAATCACTTAATATACACACTCTTGGCTTGTCCATCATAGTATAGCAGGCTTGTAAAGTTATAGTGATATGTGCCAACAGTGGTTTTTTAATGGTTCGCCTGTCGAGATTTCCTGATTAGCGTAACATTTAGTGATTAATGAAATTTCTCTGATGAGTATCTGTCTTATTCGTCTTCAGTAAGCGGTGCTTGATCCACTCAGCATGTAGTTGTGGCATGCCATCCGATCACCATCAGTGGTTGGATGACACGTAGAANCTCCCTCGATTTTTTAAAGAATAAGTAACTTTAACAATAGCTTAAGCCTACTCAAGAACTACATCACCACTCAAGTGTAGAGATCAACTCTTCCTCTTGCATTGAAAACCTAGTTTTCCTTAACCGGGGCATGAATAATTTATTCGGCTAACGAACTAACGTCTTCTCTTTCTTCACGGCCGGATTGATCTGAATTGATTGCCCCACAGCTGTGCCATTGGAGGCATGCAATGGAAAATTATGTCCAACGACCGGTGTTCCATGCGCCCAGAACACTAGCTTGTTTTTTTAATTTTATTTTAAATTTGTCCATTGTCGACCTTGTCATTCAGTCCTAGAGTATCTTGGGAGTTTAGTTGAATATAAATATAGTTTTTAATGTAGACGTATAAACTANAATTGATTGCCCCACAGCTGTGCCATTGGAGGCATGCAATGGAAAATTATGTCCAACGACCGGTGTTCCATGCGCCCAAAACACTAGCTTGTTTTTTTAATTTTATTTTAAATTTGTCTATTGTCGACCTTGTCATTCAGTCCTAGAGTATCTTGGGAGTTTAGTTGAATATAAATATAGTTTTTAATGTAGACGTATAAACTAAGTTTTGCCACTGGAGCGTCTTCTTGGGTGTCGAACACTTATATGTAGTGCGGCGTTCACACTACGCAGTCTGCAAAGCTAAGAACGAAGTCGAAATGTCGATCTTCTAGCTATGCTAAGAGTAATCCAGTGCTCCAAGAACAGCTATCATCCAGAAAACAACATAACCACGAAGAAAGAAGTAGTAACAATGTAAAAATTCTTAGGATGGCTTTTGAAATTCAGGAGAAAAATCTTATTCTCCTAGCAGGTTACCAGTGAAGTGGAAATCGTGTCCAAGTCCATACTATTTTTCATAACATTTGAAGACCTGACATCCAAGTATTTAGGTAAGTTTGAGTAGATATTGAGGTATTAATTTTAGATTCGAAACAATAAAACTATTTAAGAAGAGCAATTTAGAAGTATTGATCGAAAAATCAGTAGACGTCATATAAAGAGAATGGTCGCAACATTGGTGATGTTAATGTGGTAAGTCGATGCTCACTAATTATTCAGAAGAATAATCTATAAAAGATTAAAGATCTAACATTTAGAAGCTCTAGCCTCAAAGCTATTTTAAATAGGAATGAATGTAACAACATTACTGAAGAACAGGAGAAAAGGAGCTTCGTAAAATTTGTCGTTTCATAAGAACTACATCATGTGTCGCTTCCAGTTACGCGTTCAGTCTACGTGAAAACCACATCAAATGCGAAACAATGAGGGCTAAGCTTTCTGCTAAGTAGGTGGTATTGAAGCATTAAGTAACCAACCTGCTCATAATTGTTCAAGAGAGTCAGTAGATGGTCGTATCGAATATGGTTATCGTATAGTGTGTGGTCGTTTGTTCGACGGGGCCAGCTTCGCATTCCTCCAGGGTGGGCAAATTAGTTAGAAATTTACCTAAGAAAATTGTTAACAAATCGATAATAGATGGCAAATGCTCGTGGTAGGGTTTTGTGAAAGCTATTATGAAGTTATCTGGATTGAACCAGTTCGTTCACCTTCATCACCTGTCC